TAATATAATATACAATATAATATTTAATAATTTTATAAAATAACTAAGAAACGGGCAACACTGGGAATTGGCACAGTGATCGGTGCACAATTTGCTTTGAAAAAGCTTTACCTTTTTGATCTGTGCCAATTCCCAGTTGCCCGTTTGTTCTTAGTTACTTTATAGTTTATTACGGAAATTCCAATATTTGTTATCTTTAATAATATTAATTCTGCAAAGATGCTAGAGTGGAAGGATTATTTCGACGAGCAGGACGTCGTGAGGTTCGACGACATATTCTTAATTCTCTAAAGAAAGGCCATAAACCGCATTTTGAAAATTCAAATAATGCTGCTCTGGAATGTGCAGCAGCTTTACAAATTTTTCTCAGTCGCTTAAAGAAACCAATTATGCCGCAGCACGTGCAAGAATTGATTCTTGGTAAATATTAACAATGATAAATAAGGAGTGAAAATAAATGTGTAAGAAAACAACGAATATTTCTCATGATTATGATTTATTTGTCGTTTGAAAATGACAAATATGTATAAAATGCAATGTTCATCGAAGAGCGTTTACAAATTCAGCGTCAGCACAATGTCAGTTCTGGTGAATTATGCCAGTTATTATGGTATCAAATCTAAAGTTAAAATTTTGATGACAAATGAGTCTTTGATGATTTGTAATCTTTGATCTGTATACCTAATTAGGTATTAGTATAATAGATCTTCAATTAACATTTCAGTTTTTAATATTCGATATTAATATTAATATTATTAAATATAATTTATTAATATTATCATTTGTAATATTAAAAATATTTGGAGAACTTTGTATATTCTGTGAATAATAAATAAATGCAAATAAATATAAATTTTAATATTTATATATGATCAGCTGATAATCCAGGTGTAGAAGCACAAGTTATTGCACAAGATGCTCTAGGACTTATTAGACAGGATGTCGGTGGTCGTCATTGCGAGCTTTTGACTCATGTTTTGGATCTTTTAAGGCACTTAACTCTTTCAGGACCTCCTTCCGAATGTTCCGAATTGCGCGGATCTCCATTACCTGTTGCACTTTTACCAGTGTTTTTTAATTTATCCGTAATAATATATTATTTATAATATCTCATTTTAATATCTCATTAGTCCATCAATAGTCGAATCAATTTATTTTATACAAAAATTTTTGGCGTTAAAGATCTTAAACAATTCTATTTACTCTTTTTAACATTGAGAATTTTATTTAATTATTAAACTCTTAAATATTTATTTTTTATTTTATATAATTGGAAAAGAAGGTAATTATACATATTAGGGGCGAACTCACAGATTTTAATGACCTTGACATATGTTATGACCCTCCAACCGGGTTTAGCCATCGTCATTCGTTAAAAAGTTATGAACAAAATAAGTTTAAGAAATAATGTCTTTTTTCCGCTACATAAAATAAAAATTCTTTATTTTAAAAGAAATCTCTTCTGCCAAGAGGCGTACGATTTCCATACAAAGCTCAGCTCCTACCCTGCAAAAGAGCGTACGAATTTTCACGCGAAACGAGTTTTACCTCGCATCTTCCCTGCCAAATGGCGACTGACTTTCCAAATTTCCACCATGATAAAGGGATAAAGATAGAATCACACGATGATTTCTTGAATAATAGCATGCATACAGTAATGCCTATTCTGATGTATGTTAGAATTCGTTCATGCATTGAATGCTGCATACTGTATATATTAACATATATATGCATATATATGCATACTGCATATATTATTATAATACATACACGATTTTTATATTTATTATGGATTACTTTACAGCTTATTTCCTTGCATACAATCAAAAGAAATAATTGCTAATTTCATAGTTATTTGTCAAACGTCAGAGTGTATGCATCAAAGCAAGCATAGCAACATGCATCCGTTAATGCATGCGTGCCTCATGCTTATGTTCTTCTTATTCTTCTTATTATACCCCTGCTTTTTCTGATCTAAGAAAAGAATCACAGTATCATACGGTAAATTTGGATTTTAGATTCTGTGATAACTTCTGCGGGGAGTGTATGCTTATCATTCAAGAAATTGAACATCTTATGATTTTATCTTTACATGGTATGTGCAGTTGGACAGTGTCTCTTTCTATATCTCTGCCTTCTCTATCTATGGACCGTTCATAAGGAGGAAGCTACGAACTGTGAAACGCTAAACATGGACGATATTCATAGTCCGTTTTTATTTTAAAATTGTCTTAAATATAATGTTTTAAGATGATAATGTAGTCTTCAGATTGACTTACGACATCTTAAGATTGTACTTGTAGCCCTTAAATCTCATGAACATCCATAGACAGAATGGACGGAGATTTAGAGAAAGACACCGTCCAACTACCATGGTGTCTCTTCCACCAGGTATGTGAGTGGTGTGTGTAATTGAACTATGTGCAAGTGCACTGCTTCCCAAATTAAAAAATTCGTGATTTTTTATTATATAAAGCTGTATAAATAAGTATGCATACTTTTAATGTTATAATATCTTATATAATTGCCGAAAAATTACAATTTTTTCTCTACAATTATTATCTCTATTGATAATCAAACTTGAATAATAACATTAAAATCACAGTTTTAAATCAAAATCGAGTATTATTAAATTTTAAACATATGTACATGTCTACGAAATTAATAAATCATGAAATCACTATTATTAGTATGTATTATTAGTTTCTTACTCTTAATTATTTAAATTTTAATAGGCATGCGAACTTCCATAAGCGCCGACTGTCTTTAATAGTATCTTGTTGATGCTCATGATCTTGACAACATATATCAAGGTCATTAAAATCTGTGGGGTTGCCCCTAATATAACATGCATAATTATACCGAAAAAAATTACGCATTTAAATCCGCATAAAATGCATTATATTAAAAGTGTTTCTTTCATATAATTTATTTTAGTCTTATTTTATAGCCTGGTGATTTAATAAGATGGAAACAAGTGGCGGCCAGATTCAGCGAATTAATTACGGAAGCCGCTGCACAACTCCGTCGCGATGTACAACATGACATTTATACGGAAACTATAAATTCCATGACGAGTTACATCGATGTAAGAGACCTTTATTGGAAAAGCAATTAAAAAATCCATTAATATTTCTTTAACTTAATTTTGAGTCATATTTAATTTAATGTAATTGTTTTCGTCTTAGAATAGAATTTTTTTGGTGAAAAATAGCCGCTATCATCCGTAATATGCATTTTTAGACAGCTTCGACCTCACAAGAGGAAGAATTAACAAGATGGCAAGAATTTTCGTTATTGTATCCTTTTGTTCGACTTAGAGATCATTGTAATATTTGTAAGATATTATTAATTAATTTTTATTTCACTAATATGTAGATATCCATTATTATTTCGTAAAGTATTCATGATTATTTTAAGCTTTTTTTTATTATTAAGGCTCCTGTTTAGTCACCACAACCATATTGAATAGTGACAAAAGCGAGAAATGACACATTAATTTTTGTTACTTGCTATTTGTAAATAAAGACAATTTAGATAAAACAAAATGATGAGATCGCTTTAAAACATTTGTAAAAATAGATGAAAACTATGCTTATTCCCTCTGACAGTAACTCACAATTCAATGTGGTAATTACTCAGAAGCTTTAATGATAAGAATACTAGTGATTTAGTTTACTCTCTCTAACGAAGCGTTTATTAACGATTCAATAAAATTTTGCTGATAGGTCACGTTGGCGAGATGGCACGTGTTCTTATTACACCGTTACAACATCCAATCGTTGGCAGGTTACATCCGACAATTGCTAATCCTAATTAAAAATTTTATAACAATCGTACAAATGTGCAAAGTATTTTTAGATGCAAATTACTATATTTATATTGTCATAATTTTGTTTATGTAAATTGATTAAATATTTCAATTATACTTTAATTAAAATATTATGTTTACATGTACTGTCAGTGAATAGCAACATTATTGATCTAATTAAAAGTAACTAGATCAATTTTAAATAGAATCATAAGGCTTGTAATTTGTTTTTGTAAGAACTTATGACTGACATTGTAATTCTATGCGTATATATAAGACACTGTAATTCTACGCGTATGTATAAGACGTACAGTCATTCGTAAATATCCACGATTTTTTATAAATCTTACGGCTAGCAAGAAACTTTCTGTAAAGATATTACAGTAAAATTACAAGCGCTTATAAGTTCTTACTAGTCTTGAGACTACAAGAACATGTTACAAATTTTATGATTTTCTTAGAGAGAATTAAGAAAATTAAATAAATAAATAAATTTTACCCGTAAATTAAATAAATTGTACCTGTAATATAAAAAATGAAGATGTTTATTTAAATAAGGAATTATTTGCAAACACATATATTTTTATATCTTTTTCAGTGCCTCTATACATCAAACTGCAAATAAAATATTTCATACATTATAAATAAATTCACCGTAGAACTTTACACGATAAAATTATTTTATTGCTAACGCGCGCGAGCAAAACGCAAATAAAACGTTTTACATATGTAAGATGTGCGGTTGAACTTTCAGATTTAAATTTCAAAATTTAACTATATATGCCATTTTGTAGAATAACTTAAATCAACTTCCTTTAGGCATTCTTAAAATTTAACTGTGTAATCGCAGTACGGAGTATGATATTTTCAGGTGTATTCTATGATACGAAAGTACATAAAAATTGTTTCACAGCAAGTTTATGTATGGAACGTGTATGGAACTACACCTATGTATCATTCCAAAAAATGCAGTAATCAATTAGACATATTCCTTTAATAAAAATAATGTTGATACCTTTTCTTATTTAAAATTAAAATCATTATCTTCTTCCTCTTAGAGATTTTTCTTTTACGAAAAAGATACTAGTTACTAAAATTAGATTAATAATAAATTTTTATAAGCTTTATTTACATTTTCTAAAATTATTTTTCTTGTATTTTTTTTCAAGAAAAACGTAAGTTGTAATAAAACCACCAACTACTAGTGTGAAGTTCATTTAAAGAATATGTCATGACTGATTTGTGCATTCTCTAAGCAGATAAAAGATGAGCATGAACAACAGAGATTGCCACTCATTTCTTTCTTAATGTTAACCGGAGCGACAGAAAACTGCTGCAGAGCTCAAAATCAATTGTTGCACTAATTGTGGCTACGACCAGGAAAACCACGATCGTTGTGTGGGTGACTTTGGCGTAGTTGGCATAGATGAGGACGGTGTACCGGTTTGCTTCTCATCAAGTTGATTTTTCAGTCTAACCTTTTCATTTGTTTCGATTTGCATTTTCTGCTCATATTGCCGTACATCTTCCAGGTTCATGTCATACCATTCGTCAATCCAGGCAAATGCCTGTCTGTGACCCAACACTAGAATATCCCTTATACACTAAAATCAAAATGAAAATAGATTAATCAATATGTAATCACAATGTACTTTTAGTGGGAAAGACTCTAGAGTTTAGTACTGTTCTTTGAATATTACATTCAATCTGTATATCAAGAAATTGAATTTATATAAACAATAAGAATCTTATTGGACCATATAAGTAAAATCACTAATCTCAGTTGTTAATGTATATAATTTAGTATTACTAAATATTAAATATAAAATATTCTGAACAGTAATGATTACTTACATTACTGTTGAAAAAAATATTACTAAAATGTAAGGCAGATAAATGGTTAATTAGACAAACTTACTCTATGTATGAAATCTTCCACTCGCGTTTGCATACCCCAGACTTCAAACGAGGCATGAACCAATTTATATGAGCACATTATAGGTTGTGTTGTGTCCTTCCAACCTTCAACCAGGGGACCACGGCCTGTTCTTTTCGATTGAAAGTACTTTGGGTCCTGTTAAGACATCTTGATTAGAATTAAAATCTAACGTTAGAAATTAAATATGGATCAAATTATGATTATAGGCAAGCCTACTTCTTCTTCTTTGTAATGTTTCGCGGAGAGCTCATCGTATGCAATATCTACAAAATCGACTTCTCGATGGGTCAATTCTATGGGTGACAGCCCTAAGCACTATAATTTAATAACAATAGATTCATCAGTATTAATATTATATTATTAAATAAAAAGTAATAGTAAAATGTATATTATAAATATGATGTAATAATAAGTTATTTATTACATTTTCTGTGCAGCCATTGTTGTCTTCATACCGTGTGTTTATCGCTATATGGAACTTTGGCATAAAGGAACACTGAAAGAAAAGAAATTCAGGAATAATATAAAATTTTATAACAATATTCATATTGTATATTCATATTGAACGTTACTCACAGTGTAGTCTGCAGTCGTCAGGAAGGAATAAACACATGCAAAAAAATAAAAAAAAATTAAGACAGTTTAATTTTTTTCTTTTTTTTTTAGTACTCCAAGATTTGAAAATCATTATTTTTATTAGTACTAAAAGAGAGTCGTGTTACTTCCAATTTCTAAAGTAATGACTGTAAAATTTGATAAAAAAATAATTACACTAGTTTACAAAGTTTTGTGCAAGAATAAATGAAGGCTGTTTCTAAGGTAATTTTTTCAACGTTGAGTCAGAAAATGCCATTAAAATATTTCCATCAGGTTGCTTTTCAAATATAAGAAACAATTTAAAAAAAAATATATTTGCATGGAACTGTATTAGTGTCTAGTACGGGCCTGTCCAACACTTTGCTTGTAAGCAACCCTTATATCTCTCCGCTGTCGCGATAGAGCGAGACAGAACAAAAATAACAAAGGATTAGACGCCAAGATTTCGCCTGAATTCAAGTCTGTCCAAGTGTCGTAGAAAGGAACCAAAAAAAAATCCATTTCTCAATTTACAATTATAGTAGATGTTTTTATTATCCTTGTCTGTGACACCCAAACATTACAATAAAATTCTAATCAAATGTTTCGACATTTAATCTGATCATCAGTGATTTTTATAACTGACAACGACCAGATTTCTATGACGCTTGGACAGACCTGAATTCAGTTGAAATCTTGGTGTCTATTCTTTGTTATTTTTGCTGTATCTCGCTCTATCGAAACGGTGGAGAAGTGAAAGTGTTTTGGCTCACAAGCAAAGTAGACAGGTCTGATCTAGCAGTAATCGCTTAGCATGTTTTTGTTCCAATATCCCTGATGTTTCTCAGTTATCATCAAATTCTAGTGGATTTGCCTTTCTCATCATTCGTTGCATCCAAATTATTTAAAAAAATGTCTTAAAAATTGACATGCTATATCTTAAACATTCGATCAGATGGAACTTTTCTAGCAAATTCAAAATACATTTTTAAAAAATGGTTCTTTTTCTTGCACTAAAAATTATTCAAAATTTGTAATTCAGTGTTGTTACTACATCATGCAAACAAAGCAAAATGTACCTGTTATAGTAAAAGGATAATAGTTCCATGCTTTTTCCGTCACATAAAATATTCGTGGTAAGATGGATTGAATCCAATAAGGGAGTTTACTGAAAAGAATAAAAGAGACAGTAAAATGTTTTGTTTCAAGAAAGCAAGCACTATAAAGCTTCTATATAGGGTATTTTTCAGCAAGGACATATTCTTGTTGTTTGCTAATGTTAAACAAGGATAAAATGATTCACTTGTTACATTGTCCTTGCTGGAAAACGTCCTTTTGCAATATTGTGTGTATTTCCATGGCTCAGTTCCATAACTCATGGTTAACTCTTAGGTTCAATTTGTTTCTCATCTATTTTCAATTTTAGAATTGGAAAGAAACAATGAATAAATTGAACCTCGATTAAAAGTTAACCATGAGTTGTGGAACTGCGTGCCTATATGTTATATATTTAAAAACAAGATTTACCTAGACAGATGGATCCTTTTCTCAGTATACTGGCCCTTTCCATGAACAGGATCCTCGCAGACGGTATTTTCAACCACTTCTACTCCTTCGTCGTTGTCGGATTGTTCATGACTATGTCTGGCGATCATGTATAGCTGACCAATGCGATACTATACAAAGAAATTGATCGATCACTACAAAGTAATTCTTAGAGAAAAATTTCGATATCTTTAAAAAAAAAAAGATCAACATACGATAGGTAACGATAATTATCAAATGAATGGGATAAATACTTTCGATTATCGAATAAAATAATAAATAATTAAATAAGCGTTCGAAGGTTACCTCTTCCGTAGTGAGCGGCATGCAAATGCGATACTCCTTAGTAAGAACCATCCTTGAATTATTTCCGACAGTCGATCAAATGCAATGATAGATTAAGTCCGTTTCACGTGCGTCCTCACTGGAGGAGCGACACGATTCTATATGTTCTGTGATGACTCTCGTGATTTTTCGCGTCCGACGTTACGTAGGAAACTGTAGGACATAGGATAAACATTACAACCCGCGCGCAACGGCGACCGTGGCGACGAGAGGCTTGGTGGAATTCGTCATTGGTGCGGTGATCGATATGGGCACAGATCGGCAACCTGCTGGCGAAAAAGTCACAGCCCGGCAGCTCGTGACAGCCCGTGTGGATTGACAGCGACGGCGTATTTCGCGCAGAAATTCCCCCAGGCGTGCGCCCGCCGCTCCCCCGCTGACAGTTTCACGCAGTTTCACGTGTTACGTGTACAAAGATTGTGAGTGCGGAGCCAGCGGAGCGGACGACGAAGACGAAATCGCGTTTGCGGGCAACGATGTGCAGGTAACATTGCCGCGCGCATCGGTGCGACATGCGATGGTGAAACGAGCAGCAGGATTTGGGGAGCGGCGTGTGTGCAGCTGCGAGGTCTCGGTGCGAACGAAGGAATACGTTCGGCGTGAGGTCGCCGACAATCGATGCCAATGGCCTACGAAGCGTTATGGCACGAGTACAAGCAGATGCCCGTGGTGACGCGGGCTTATACCACAGCCTGTGTCATCACGACCCTTGCTGTGGTACTTAATCTCTCTTTTTTTTTTTTTAATCCTGTCGCTCAACCTCGCCCATTGGCCACTCGTCGCGCGAGTCCAAACCCGAATCTTCCTTTATTTCAAATCCCTGTCTTACATTTTCAAATTCTCTCTTTATCTGTTTCTGTAAAATCAAGTCTTATACTTGAGCAGTTTAATGACTCAGCACTTATCCTGATGCTTACCTAATGATTATATAAAAATGATATACAGAGAGAAGCCTGATAATTAGGAAATAATTTTAATCGAATGAGCAAATAGATTTTGTTGAGTTTATAAAATATATTTGCTTGTCAAGCAATGTATAATTACTTTGAATGTTTCAGCAATTAGATTTGGTATCCCCATTTCAACTGTATTTCAATCCTATTCTTATTGTGGAGCAATACCAGGTACGAAAGTATAGATGTGCAAAGTTGCTATGTAAAGTTGGCTTTATTATGTAAGACAATTCAAAGATTATTATCGTCATTAGAAGAAAATTTATTAATAAATTTGTACTTTTTTGTCAAATTTGTCAAATTGATTTTTTTGTCATATACTGAATCAACAGTACAACCATAACTTTCCTAAAGTATTACACTGGATTATTTCAGATATGGCGATTAATAACAACATTTCTGTTCTTTGGAAATGTTGGATTCAATCTATTATTCAATATGATCTTCACATATCGATATTGTCGTATGTTGGAGGAAGGATCTTTCCGCAGGAGAACAGCTGATTTTGTGATGATGTTTATCTTTGGTGGATTATGCATGATTGTATCCTTGACAAATTTTAATCATTATAATTTCGATAATTATAATTATGATGACATTTTATAATATTATCGATTGAAACACTAATATTCTATTAATAATTAAATTAAATTACATTTCTGTCTTAATAACAATTAACAGTACTTATGTGTATAATAATGTTCATAAAATTATAGTAATGTAATTATAGTGATTCTAGTAATTACAATGGTAATTACAGTTATAATTATTAATGTTGCTATTTAAAAAATATATTAAGAATATTTTTGTCCTTGTTCCTTAATTATTCATAGACTTTTGCATTTTTCGTCAATTTGCTATTCCTGGGGCATGCATTTACAATAATGTTGGTGTACGTGTGGTCACGACGAAATCCTTTTGTCAGGATGAACTTCTTCGGACTTTTAAACTTCCAAGTAGGTTCAATTTAAGGAAATATACATGTCACACATTAGTTTTGTTTTATTAATATTGTATAATTAGCTATTGCATTATTATTCTGACTTCTATTTAATAAATAGTCATGTTACAATTATCCATAACTTTTTTTTTTAGGCTCCGTATTTACCGTGGGTGCTGTTAGGCTTCTCTGTATTGCTTGGCAATACGATATGGGTTGATCTTGTTGGAATGGCAGTAGGGCATACTTACTATTTCGCAGAGGATGTATTTCCTCGGATAAGAGGTGGTTTCCGAATTCTAAAAACTCCTCAAATATTGTAAGCAAACTTAACATTAAAATTAAGATTAAAATTATGCGATTATATTATTAGGAATGATTATTAGGATATTAGGATATCCAGGAAATATCCGGTATTATTCGATACCGGTCGGCTAGCCGGATATCATTATAGTACTCGGTAATATATACATATATAAAAAAGCAAGGAAAAAATAGCTATAACAATTTTATTTATCTTCCCGTGAAAAAAGAAAGAGAAAAGATGAACTGTGCAAGAAATTCAGCTAAAAAACAAAATTAATGATGCAAATTTAATATAAAATTTCAGCTTGATGTATACACACACACACACACACACACACACACACAAATATGAAAATTATATATATAAAAGTTTGCATCATTAATACAGAATTTTATGGTTCTTTAGCAGAATTTCTTGCATAAATCTTTTCTCTTTCTCTTTTCACAGGAAGATAAAAAAAATTATTATAGCTATGTTTTCCTTGCTTTTTTTAGAAGTTTTGTTCTAGATATCCGAGGTATATATATATATATATTCAAGTATATCCAAGGAAATATTCAGTATCCGATCGGATAATTGCCCTACTGGATATCCAATACTTGATGTTCGATAATTTTACTATTCAATGTATTCCTAATTATTATGATTATTATTTAAAATGAAAATTATAACTTTATTAATCAAATTGTCGAACAAAAGAAGATCGGCGAAATTGCTAGATTTTGGCCTAAACAACGGAATCTCTCTTATATAGTTTTTTTGTATTTTTTTATGTGCTGCATCATGTGGATACGTTTATTTCAAATTGATCTGAAACACGTTAAAAATCGTATTAAAAGTAGCATAATTTCGTCCAAATCTGGTTTTTTATTGAAATTTTTAATATTTTCCCGTCACCTTTCTTATGCATGGTTATTTTTTTTAATATGTTAAATCATTTGCAAACGTTAATTTCAAGCTAAACTAATAGAAAATCCGGTAATTTTATTCAGCCTCTTTTATCGAGAAATGTTTCAAAAGTTGGATGGCGATAAATAAACGATAGACTATTGATAAGAGAAATAATATAATTTTTCTTTCTTAGAAAGACTTTGTTTGATGCATATCCTGAGGATCCAGATTATATGCCACCACCAGAAGATCGGCCAGGCGGCTTCAATTGGGGACAAGAAGCCAATGTACAATAATCGAAAAATTCAGCATTCTCCTCTTGATGCTGTTTTTTGCGTTGAATTGTCCGAGGACAATTGCTATCATTGTTCCTTTTGAATTATGTATAACGATTTTTAGTGTCCGGATTTGTATGCAAAGATGTATAACGAGATACACGTAAAAAATAATATATGTATAGGGTGTATAAGAGATCGAGCGATTTCATTTCATTAAAGATCTTTCGAAAAACATAATAAAAGCATAAGCTGATATTTTTTTAATGAAAATTCGATACCTACATAAGATTTTACTTAAAGATTGTGATTAATAATCTTCAATAATAATCAAAATGTCATCGAAGGAAAGTCAAACTTTTCAAGGAATCAATAAATATAAAAGAAAGGGTTCAAACCAAGTATTGGTCTTCCTTTTATATTTATTATTTTTTTTAATTTTTGAGCCTTAGTCTGTATATAATTGTTGACTTCTCAAGGAATTTGTAGACATGAGAAAACGCGCGAGTATTTATACACTCTGCATATAGTCGAAGAAGCTACAGAGAAACGCACTTAAATAATCGGTAAACTTTATTGATTTCCCTAAATTCCATTTACACATTCATATGTTTTCCGATATTCGTTTCTACATACAGAATCCAAATTCTATTGATATTAGCTTTGGAAACCAAGTGTTGCGCTTCTAATGCTATTGTAGAAAATCTGAATTAAATTGTTTTAATCAGAATACCGCGAACAGAAGGCCGTGAATTTTATTTTGTTTTTCAACTATAGGTTCTTCATTAAGTTTGAAATGAGTTAAATTGTAAGATTAGTAATTTTAGTTGTTATTATATAGATATTTCAGTCTATAAGCTTTATACGATTCTAATGTCGTATATAGTAGCTTATTTCATTCTAAACATATGTACCGAGTAAAGTGTTTTAGTAATAATAAATATTAAAGTTTGTCGTATCCCGCAGATTTATATCTGCTGCAGAATTTAAAATTCTCTAATTCGATAGAAATAAAATTTTAATGTACGCGAATGCAACTGAATTAGCATTCCGAGGGTTATACCCATCTGTCGCTAGAGAATAAACTTCCGGTTCAACACGGGAATTGTAATTTTCCACTCGCAAATTAATTAGATTTATTATATTGAGAATGTCACTTTTGTAAGATATTTGCGATCGGTGGTAATTTTGTGATACACTAATCGTGCTCATAGTTCTTGCAAGTATCAATGGAAGAAAGAGAGAAAAAAAATGCCATTGTGACAAGGAGACTATTTTAAATTATACTAAAGCATTTATTTATATTTATTATCGTAGCAAAGTGTAATCTATAGATAACATCTACAAAGTACAAATCGTTAAATATAAACTGAAAAAATAATATATATACACTTCCCACACTTTGTTCATACGTGTATATTATGTACTATATGAATACAACGGAGATTTTGCATTGATAGTTAATAACTGTCGCTTCTTTTTTTCGTTACCTTTTCATTACGAGAATAATGGAAAGGTAATGTTTTTTTTTCTAGGACCAATCTATTATATAGTCAATTATAACAAAGAATTGTTTAAAGTGTGAGTTAAGTTTTAGTGTAGTTTTGCATCTTGGAATTTTGTTTCTCTTATTTAGGAAAGGTGAATTATTTTATCCAAGTACGATTAATAATTAGCTTGGATGTAACTTTTTCTGTGATTCTCGTGAGTGCTATGTGCAGTTATGATCTTAAGCTAAACAATTGTGAATTTTTAACACAGGTCACCTCCGAATGTTAATGCAAATATGTTTTATAGTGGATTGATGTAAGCAAAGAAATAAGAAATTTGGATTCCCGCACGATTGCGAGGAATAATTATCCTTGTTCTAATAGTTCTAATAATTTCAATTTCTAAGATTCTTAGAGATTTTAAGTCCTTTAAATTATTTATTCCTTTTGAATACTAGATTCGAATGTCTATATCATTTTAATTTCTTATAACATTTTCATTGGCATTTTTCACTGGCAGAGCTGATATGCACTCAGTGCACTTTAAAGCCATTGTAAATCGATGTAAAGATGTACATTTAATAAAAATATAGAAACGAATTAAACTATGCGAAATCCTCAATACATTTTATTATGGTATTTGATAAAATATACATTGGGTATTTTATTAATTGAGATATCTCACAGTCAGATTAATATACAACAGCTTTAATGTGCACCAGTTCTGCCAGTGAAAAACGCTATTAAATTTGCACATATTTATCTTTTCTTATATCTTTGGCTTCCAGGATCATAGGATATTTTTCCTTCGCACAATGTATTTCTTGAATTTAATAGTTAATAATTATCAAAGAATTGTTGTAAAGAAAATAATAATGAATAGTATAAGAAATGATTTTATAAAACCATTTATTTCGATTTAAATAATAAATGATTAGCGTAATAGGATTAATATAATGATGTATAACTAAATACATATACGCAATGACATGGACTATAATACAATGATCATCAGGGCTCTATTGTACATTTGTTTCTTATTGTTTTTATCATATCGCCACTGTTGCTAAAAGTACCGTGATGTCGTCTGGTTTACCACCTAAAAGATTAAAAATTTATCTTTTATTTATCTTTCTTCCATACTTTTTTATTAAATATCTTGAATTTAAACTTCTTACATTTATTTATATTAGTGAATTAAATCCAAGCGCAATGAGTAAAAAAAAATTTTCATTTAATATTAAATTTCTTCTATGAGAGAGAGGGGAGGGAGGGAGAGAGATAATGAGAAATTGTACGTGATGAGTTTCTTTTATAACTTTTCAAGATATTTTTATAGAAAACAGTTTTTTTGTTATTATATAAAAATGCTATTTAAAATATGGCATAAACAATTAGTACTTTTTTTTTGCATACCTATTGCATCGATCCCATTCTCACGGGCATTTTGAGCAAACGGAGACATGAAGGCGTCATCAAAAGCTAAACGACGTGCCATCCACGCTATCGTGTTAGCGACGCACTGTATTTTCGTTGGATCTCTTTCGCCTTCAATTTTACGCATCTCTGTGACTAGCAACTGGTCAGGCACATTGTCAAATACTCCGTCGGTTGCCAGAAGGATCACATCGCCGTCCTCGACACCAAAACTCGAAGTATCGGCGGATTCTGGACTGAAAAGAAAGGAAATATGATTATTAAAAGGTTAGACCGGTGTGACCAGCCGTAAAAATAGTAATTTTTAAGCGTGAATTGCCGAAGAAATAAAAAATCTGTAGACTTGTGTTTTTGTACCTTATTCAAGTACACATTGAAGGTATAGAATATGCAAAATAAAAGCTTAACACCATTTATTAAAATGTTATGAAAGATTAATTTTTTTCGCATCAACCATTGGAGTCGATGATTCCGCCATATTGGATTGTATGAAATAAAACAAAAAAAATTACTGAAGTGTATTGTATTCCCTAAGTATTGACCGAACTTATTGAAAATTTATTAAAATTTGACTGAACAAAAATTTTTTTAACTTTTGGTTTGACTTTTGGCACAAATATTGTTAATTAATTTATTAGTATCTTGCAAAATAATAATGATGTTGTAAAAATCTTCCAATGCTTAGAGAACATTATAAGGATAACCAAAATTCAAGTCAATCCGATGAGTATATCCTGAGAGATCTTCGACACTGCTTTGAAAAACAAGGTTTCAAGAAAAACGCATTTAAAATTCTACAACATAATCTTTATATCATATAGTGCAAATTTTGTAAGCTTTGTAACTCAAAAACTAACTCGAATTTATACTTAAGACCTTTTGTCCCATATATATTCTACAGATTTCACTACTTTTTAAAGCAAAAAAATTTGTTCGATTTTTTTTTTAAATTTTACACCAGTCTAATCCCTTAAAAAATGACTTTTCACGGCAACCTCATATATAACATAAATATATAAAAAATATACAGAATATATATAAGCTAAATAATCAATATATATATATAATAATAAATAATCTACCTGTCGCGAAGTACTAGATCAGAGTGTCCTGGAGGTGGCAATGACAATTGGAAAGGAGTATTGAAGTAATGTTGTTGCTCTGAGGACCGATGTACTACTTCTCCCCTTCGTACGACTACAAAACCGCTATCTCCTATATTGGCTGCGTAAATGCTGCTCGTTTCTTTATTGAGAATTATTACGCACGCGGTACTGCTACCTATATGCCAAAGAAATAATCAATGTCTAAAATAATTTTAGAACAACATTTCTGAATACTTTTATCTCTAATTTTTTTATAAAAGCAATTTTTTTTGCTGAAAGCAATTTGTTTACCTAATATTGGTTGTTTATTTTCTAACAATTCATAGTAACTACGTGCTAATAAGCCAGCTGGTTCTGTAGGTGTGAATCTACCCATGGAGACTAGCCTCTCACATGTTCTCATTAAGAAATTAGAAAACTCTCCTGGATCAATTCCGTAGTGTCGCCATCCTCCCACACCATCAGCCACACCTGAAGCATAACAAATAATACCTGTATAAGGCAAGTGAAAAAGCTCTGAAAAAGCTGCTGGTCAATTTTATATTTTCATGTACAAAACTTAAAAATTAAACAAAATGTTTAAACAAAATGTATATACATCATATAGTTAACATAATTATGTAGTTTTAAGCAAAATCTATTTTGATATTTTAATAAGAATCATCTACGCATAGAATTGTTAACTTTAAATTATTAAGTACTTCATAAATATTTTAAATAAACTATATCTATGCCAATAAGGTACAGTAATTATGTATTTTTATATACATATATGAGATATAATTAATTAAATACTGTGTACTTAATAAATATGTATATAAATGTCTAACATTATTTTGATAATTATCTATTTGAAGCAAAAATTATATTAAAAAATTAAAGTGAACATGTTTGTTTTTCTTGTATGTGTATCTTTATTTAAAGATATTAAACTTTTTATATTTAAAATAAAATGTATATATACAATGTCCATACATATATTAAAGAAAGCAAAAAAATCAGTATATGTAAAATAAATTAAAAAAATTAATGATTTATGAAAGAATTAATGATAAAGTCACTTAGGTTTGATTCAATGTTATTTTGAGTTCAAGCAAGACTTAAAATTCTTTGTCTCATTTTAAAGCCTAAAGAGATAGAGACAGAGAGAGCTTTAAGCCTCGCTTAAAGTCAAAGTAACACTGATGCAGATGAGCCTTAAAGTTATAGGTTCTTAAATTTTCAGTCATATTTAGTATACTAGAAGCCTTTTTATTTATGTAAAAAAGGACAAAAATTGTAAAAAAGTGCAGAAAGAGTAGCAAAAAGTTCAACTGAATACTACACATACCTGACAAATGAGAAAATATATATGTGTATCTTATCATCTTTTAAAATGTAGATTTATGTCAAATCTAAAATTAAATTCTTTTTGGCTGCAATTTTCTTCACTTTTTTTACAATCTTTATTTTTCTTTTTTTTTCATATTTCTCTTCTCTCTGTCTTTGCTTCAATGAATGTATACTTATTTCATTTTAAGTATAGCAAGTATCATAACATAGTTTAAAAAATAAATCTTTTTTCCAACAGCATATTTGAAATCTGAATTGTAATCGAATTGTAATCTGAATTGTAATTGAATTTGAAATCTGAATCTGTTAAGCAATTCATGAATTTTACATTGTTGCCAGTAAACTCATGTCCTTTTAGAAACAAAGTGTAAATCCTATTCTACAATTGTGTAAGTAAAGTTGCAAGTAATTGGTAGTTGTAAGAATTAATCTATCACAGTTAAATATTTTCCTTATATTTGATTGTAATTGGTTTATTTATAATTACACCTACTTACATATATGATTACGCAATTGTAAAATGTTTCAGTCTATTTTTTCCAGAGCTGTACAGGATAAATCATCCGTAATCAGATTGTAAAACAACAATACACAAGATTCGAAGAGAGATGAAAAGAAAAAATAAAAAATAGTTAAAAGCTAATTTACAATATGCTCTTTGTTTTCTGTTTCTTCCTTTTTACCATTTTTTTTTACTTTTTGTCTTTTTGCATCTTATCCAATTTTTTTAGTTTTCTGATGTCCGAGATAAAAATTGACGAATTTTGATGAAGAGACAAGAAACACATGAAAGAAATGCAATTGTCATTAAAATGGTCGCAAAGGAAAAAAAAGGCATGAGATAAGAAGCAAGAAAACGAAGCAAAGAATACACTATAGATTAGGCTAAAGTGAAGTTCCTTAGCTATTTTATCTTATTTTAGGCCTTCTGTTAGATCTTTAAATAGATGCATGGGATTTGGAAAAAAAGAAAGACATAGAGAAAACTTGAAGATGCAACTGGAAGAAACAAACTTCCAGTATGCATAATGTAAGAGAAATGCAATCACAAGCTCTTTGGTCCCACCTATAACTTCAGTTGTCCTGAATTTAGCAGTGAACCAGGCATCGTCGCCAAACTGGCCCCTACGTATCCGGCTCCGGGCAAAGTCCTTCGGAAACCCGCACACGGCGGAGACAAGCGAGGCCTCGTGGCGCCTGCTGCTCACGATAGCCGTGCTTGACTGTTGTTCACTACTGCACGCAGAGCTGTAGCTCGCGATGCCGTTCCAGAGTGCGCGTGATAGCAATCGTCCAGTCCAGTAGATGGATTGCATCGCAATTTTGACTCACGGGTATCACTCACGATGACGACGACGAGAACCAGCGTGTGATCAGTATCAACGAAGTCGACAGCATCACGACACACATTCCTTTTGCTTGTTCCGTTTCACTTTCCGGCTCACAATTATCTCGCCGACTCACAGTCGTTTCGATGTTATTGCCATCCTTTTTCTCTCCCGTTTTCTTTTCTCTCTCTTTCTCTTTCTCCCTCCCCTCCTTTCTCTCTCTCTCTCTCTCTCTCTCTCTTCTCTCTTCGCGGACGAGGAACTATGCGACGCGAAGCTGGCATAAATAGTCTGTTTTTGTGTGCACTTTTTGCACTCAGCATCTTCGTTTTCTCTCTGTTCAACATCAAATATATATCTATCTCATTTTAAGTTCAAAAACTTTTGGAGATTTCAAATAACGTGAATAAACCTTTTAAGTTCAAAAATTTTGGGGAATTTCGAGCAACGCGAACAGGACCCCTATTCTTGAAAAGAAAGTCTAGGGAAATACTACAGTATACGTTACGTGTACTATAGTATTTCCCTAACTTTTCGTATACGTTTCTTTTCAAAAATAGGGGTCCAGGGAATGCGTGTAATGGACCTTCTACAATAAGCCATTAGTCATAAATCAGAAGTCAGAAGCTGACCAATCAAAAATTGACTAATCACAGTCGTTAATTTTTATTTTCTGACTTCTGATTTAAGACTAATGGCTTATTCTACATACAAGGCGTATTGTACACTCATTATACTTTATGTATTATGCATTACCTCGGATTTGCAATACGTGTTTTAAGCCGTAAGAAATCATCCAATTGCGGCATTACTCCGGATTTGCAATACGTGTTTTAAGCCGTAAGAAATCAACCAATTGCGAATCGAATTCGAGGCGTTCAAACGACTATGATACGTCTATTTCTTTTGGCTTAAGGGTTAAAACTCCATTGAGTGCATCGATTTGGGTTATCAAATGAAAAACATCCTGTGTTGACTTATGTCATTAAATAGAAAACACCCGATGTATTCCGAACCGGGTTAGCTTAACTTATTCTTTCCTATAGATATTGGCAGTTCTGTAACTAAACCGAGAATTGTTCCAAACCCGTTGGCTGTCATAACTCATAACTAATAGAAGCCAGTAGTTAAGTTTGACGGCCGATGAGTTTGGAACACTTCTCTGTTTAGTGTGCCTTCTTACAAGCGACACGATGCGACACAGTGATCATAGGATCAATTCTATATCTTCAAACAAAGTGAAAATTACAAAAGTGAGCAAATTTACTAGGCGTTGACCAATGAAATTATCAGTATTCTAGTAAATTCGCTCACTTGTAATTTTCACCTCGTTTCAAGATACAGATTCCCTAGTTATCATAAAACATAAGGCATAAGAAAATCAACCAATCACAGTCCTTTATTTCACGGAAAGGAAGAAAATAAAGGACTTTGATTCATTTTTTTATACCTTATGTGTTATGGATTATGCAAAAGTCTGTGCTCTCCGCTTTACACGCATTCTAAATCGGAAGTTAGAAGCTGGAAATTAACCAATCACAGTTGTCAATTTCCAACTCCTAACTTCTGATTTATGACTAATGGCTTATTGTAAAATAGCCATTAGACCTGTTCTTTTTGGCTGAACTTTTGCACTAGTTCATCTTTCTTCCTTTTTTCGTCAGGAGGAAAAAAGAGGAAAAAAGATAAATTAGTGCACAAGTTCAGTCTGAAAAGAACAGGCCTGTAATCAAAGGTTAAAGATGGTCAAAGGTAGAAATGATGGAGGATATGGATAGCATGGATAACAAACTTTTCAGTAATGCATTTAGAAGAAATCCATCCATTGAAAATGGCAGAAAAAGAATTACATTTGCAGGTTCAATTAAAAAATATTAATCAATATGTGCATTTTATAAGTTATTTATCTGAGTAAAACATTTGGAAGCGTTTAATAAAGTTTTTGTAGCTAATTTTATGTATAGAGATTATTTTATTATTTCTCACTTATAGATGAGGATGATCCATTGGTTAGTTTGCTAGCCGATAAAGAAGATTTGTCATTGAATCAAAAAATTCCAGTAGCAGTAAAAGATAAACGAAGTATAATAGATGATTTGTTCAGTAAGAAAGCTTCCAATGAGTTGTTATCGGATTCAAAATCAGATGAAAAAGAGATTGGCTTGATGTCTGCATTAAATACTACAGAAATTGAGAGACTAAAATCGGATGATAAGATAAAAAAAATGTCATTAATGCAAGATATGTTTGGAGATATGCATACTTCATTACCATTAAAAGAATCAGTTAGTCAAAGATCTGTACAATTAGAAATGGATGTTACACAACATTCAGCCGAAGTTTCTAAGACACAATCTCAGCATTCGACATATGCACCAACGTCTTTTGGAACAAGAGAATCTCGTAGAGGCAAAAGAACTTCAGAGATCATTAATGATCCTCTAGGTTTATTTTTCTTGGATACAACATCAAATCAAGCTAAGCAAACTGTAAATATAAATTCATTAGGTTTGCATATATTTTTAATATCTGATAATATTAATTTTATTTTCTACTCATGTTTGATAATTCTGTTATTTCAAAGACAATAGAAACACATACAGTGTCTGCAGATCTTGATAAACAGAAATTGGAAATTAAAGAATATTTACCAAATTGGTTGGAACCTAAAAAAGTGCCAGAAGATAAAAAAAGTAGCGATTATGTTCAGGATAGAGTAACACCTACCGACGACTTGTTTAGCAAATATAGGAGAGCTAGTTCTGATAAAATTATTCAAGAAGTAAGCATCATTGATGCATAGTAAAAATACTATTATCGTTTTAATTATTTATTACTGTAATTATTCGTTACAGATGTCACAAGATGATAAGATAACCAAATCACTGCCACAAGAAAAGAAAAAATTGTCAAACTTATCAGATAATCAAGAGATAGAAATCAATGAATATGAGAAACAGGAAATTGAAGAAAATTATTCTAAAGCAAGTCTTTAAATTATTTTAATAATAAAAATTTATATTTATGATTATTTTGTTAATTAAGATTTATTCAGAGATGCTAAAGGATTTGCAGGTTTCACTGTTTCGTGATCCATTACTAGACATTAGCAATGGATCGCGACACTGATAATCCATAGATCTTTTAACATCTCTGAAGAAAATATCTGTAAAAGCTTCAAAAGTTTAATTAAGATTTATATTTAATCTTGTAGCAGTCCAACACAACGGTTATTCCAATTACTTCTGATATAAATACAAATTCAGAAGATGTGCGTAATATCTTAATTCACAAAAGTAAAGACTATGAAAAAGCAATTCATAATTTAGAATTAGAAAAGTCTCATTTGTCGGTAACATTACATAGCTTAAATGAAAAATATAAAAATGAGATAATGATTCTAGATGAATCATATAAGTAAGTAGCTCATTATTTTACACACACACACAACCACACACACACACACACACACACACACACACACATACACACACGCATAAATATTTCTTTTCTTTTCCAAAAATGTACAATTGCTCTAAAGACGGCAAATAGGATTCTTGCAAGAAAGAACAGATACATTGGAAAAGAGAATGCAGCAAGAACTTGAGTGTTTAGAGACAAATTATGAAGCAAAGATTGAAAAACTGAAAAACAATGAAGTACAAATTGAGAAATTTTATAAAGAAGAAGTGCAGAATTTAAAGGCATAAAATTTTTTAATACTTAAAAATTGTCAGTATGGCATTGATTATATTGCTATAATTAAAGTTAATGTTTAATGTGATTTATTTAGAAAGAACATGCACAATTTATAGAAGAAATTTATGAACGTCATTTTCAAAACATAAGATTGCTGCAAAAAGAGCATTTTGACACGATAGAAAATATATTAAAAATGAGAGAGGTAGAGAATTTAGCTATGACCACCATAGCGACCCACAAGACTGACTTGCAAGATTTGTTACAAAAAGCTAATTTTATAATAGAGAATATAAAAATTGTGCAAGAAAAGACTGATCAGAGGGACGACCAAAGTGTAAAGTTAAGAGAACATTATTTAAAAAATCAGGAGGAAGACATACAAAGTATGTTAAGATGTTATTATATAAGTTTAAATAATTCATAGTTTTTATTCATTTATGCAATTTTATTACAGTACAAAATGTAGAAATCAAGAAACAACAGAAATTATTGGAACAAGAACATGAGAAAATAATGAAAGTAGCAGACAGATTAGATTCACACGTTACACAATTAATGCTCAAATTAGAGAAAAAAAGTGTGGAGCTTAATCAAACATTGGAAACATTACAAAAGAGAGAACAATCTTTGTCACATGAAAAAGAAATGTTTGAGGAAAAAGTACAATGGGAGCGTAATCATTTACAGGTAGGTAATCATTTAATATGAATAATTAATACTTGTGTAAACATTATTATATTACAAAAATTTTTATGTTTTTATGTATTATATGCATTTTATAAGATTTTAAGAGAATCTTGGTTTAACGAACAAGAGAAACAATTGAAGACTTTAACGAAGGAGAAAGGAGTGATCGCGGCTAAAAAGAAGCAATATGAAGTTTTAAAGACAATTAAAAGTAATTCGGATAACTTCACAAAAATAGAGGTAAAAGGATAAACCTATGAAATAGAATATATATTAGAAAAATAAAAATGACTTTATAGTTAGCAGCTGCTATAAAAGCAGCACAAGATGCCACTACACTCGCAAATCAAGAACGACTGAAATGGCAAGAAAAAATTAAATATCTTGAAATGCAGCAGCAGACTTTACAGGAAAGAGAATATCGGCTCTTAGCACGCGCCCAAGATCTCGAAAATTTTACACAGGTAATGATAATCGAATATGCGATATATAGTTGATGTTAACACAATTGAACATTTATCTAGATAACATTTGAGAAAAATGAGGAAGCCATTAAATCATTGAGAGACGCTCATTACATCGAAAATGAGCATAAAACTAAATTTGATCCCCATTACAGAAAATTTGGGAAGTTCAATTTGGCAAGGTAATATTTTGAATCAATTTTAACAATTTAAAAATCAATGTTTAAATATTTTTTAATTTTCTCAGCGAAAAATTGTCTTTGGAGAAAATAAAAAAAAGTACAAATATCCCATATAATTACAAGCGAACATTACCTAATCAACAACACGAGTTTCAAGTTACTACTCATTTTACAGTAAGATGAAAATAATTAGGAAACATAATAATGATGTTCTTTATCTTGAATTATTTCATAAATTAACATTTTACGAATATATATATGTGTGTGTGT